TTGCTGTCTCCTGTTCACTGCTCAGTTCAGGCACTCATCTGATGTCAGTGGAAGTTGTGACTGTTCACTGGCTAAAATAAATGTATATAGATTAGTGGCGTTGATTAGGGGCACCAAAGATAGCCTATACACTGGTTCCTACCTGTAAAGTCCCATGTTCTGGTCCCCAGTGCTGCTCCTGGGTCTCAGAGTTGACCCCCACACTGCATATGGCATGTGCAGCCCAGCTCCATATGCAGCGCCTGGGACAGCACCTGCTTTAGCTGTTCCAGGACTGCGCTACACGTGGCACCTGAGCTGGCTGGTCCGAGACATGCACTGCATTCAGTGCCTATGCCAGTCAGTCAGGGGTAGGTGCCACATGTGCTGAATCCAGCATGTGGGGGAAGATGGGGGAGGCTCTGTGGGCTCAATCCAGCCTGTGGACTGGCCCTGCGCCATTTCTACAGCCTCCAGGGCCAGATGAATTTGACACTGAGTTTGCATAGATGAACCACTCCTCTGGTCTGGTGTGGCTGTTTCTGCATTCCTTCATGAAATGTTATATCCCATGCATGTTCATACAAACTCACAGCATAAAAAGCAATTTGTATCAAAGCCCAAGTAGAATACCAATTCTCAAACTGACAAGCTTGAGATTTTCTCTGCTTTCATATGTCTTATTAAAGTTACAAAGCTTATACAACTATATAAATATCTGGGAACTATGTAAAAGTTATAAAAAAAATTATGGGCCTTAACTGGGTCCATTCAAATGTATAAACCTAGAATCAAGGTGACAACAAACTATTTGATTACAGTATGATTACAGTCCTTTAAACTGAAGTTCTTTCTTAGGCACATTTTAAAATCCACAGACATTAGGGCTCGCACACATGAACAACATCTTCTGATGATTTTCACATACTTTGTTAGAATCATTGAATCTGTCTGTGCTATTCACAACTCTATAACACACACACACACACACACACACACACACACACACTGGTTATGACCTATCAGATTTCAAATAGCCATTAGAAAGTAAACACACAAAGAGAACCTGCACAAAGCTCACTACTTGCTAACATTAAATATAGATGCCTTAATAAAAATAAACATACTGCAGTATCTGGGTACATTTCTGGATAAATATATGACAACAGACAGTGATAGCATCGTATTCCAGGAGCCAGGCAAAAACAGGCTAACAGTCTTCTCATCATCATCCCTCTTTAGATATTCACATGGTTTATCCTTATATTACATACCCCTGGTCAATTCTCATGTTATTTTAACTTGTTTTCCAATGAAGAAAAATACTTATAAGGATTGAGCAGCTTCTCGCTCATCTAAAAGTACTATCATAAATCAGTCGTATAGATGTTTTTAATTCTTCAATAGATAGCTGGAAGAATTATGTGGACATGGATTAATTCTGTCCATGTGCTTTGGGAACATCCAGTAACTCTGCAGTTAAGT